CTCCCGAGAATAGACGATACATCAACAACTCTATCGGGCTCAAAATGGTTTTTCACCTTGGAAAAGTGGATACTGGCAAGTGGCAATACACGAAAATGACAAGCGGAAAACTGCCTTCAGTACCGGAAGCGGGCTATACCAGTTTAACATAATGCCTTTCGGATTGTGTAACGCTCCAGCTACGTTTGAGCTACAGATGCATCTTGTTTTGCGAGGCCTTACATGGAGAACTTACCTGGTATATTTAGATGATGTCATGATCATGGGAAACTCATTCCAAGAACATCTCAATAACCTGAAAGAAGTTTTTGACCGCTTCCGGAATCCCAACTCAGTGGCGGCTCGTCAGAGTAGGCAAGGTAGGCGCCGCCTACCCTTAAATATTGGTGTTTTTTCAATCATCTTGAGTCACAAAGTCACAACAAAATAATGAAAATCTTAATTTGATATTATAATTTTGAATATACATAAATTCCTTCATTGACTTAAATAAACCTAAAACACAAAAACGGGCCGTGTACCAGTATAGCAGAGCTAGCCTGCTAGGTGTGCTAACGACGATCGACGTGAAATTGTAGTTATTGGACGACCTAGGACGATTCTAAATATTTTAAAAATTGACAAAAAGGGAGGACAAAGGTTTTCGCGATTTCTAAATATATTGTCTTAGTTCTTCAATAGTCTTATTTTATTCTGATGAACGCCAAGCTAAAAATTCTTGATAATGATATCGCAAATAGGTAATCAAAATTTCTAACACTGTTGGACTACCTGTCCAATGAAATCTATGACATTTAATAATTGCCGTGTCATGTGAAATTTCACAAACTTTTAAGGCTTGACGCAAAGGCTCTTGAAGTAAACGTTTTTGGGTGTGGCACCCGAAAAAAAAATTTCGCCTTCGGCGGCGCCCGCGGCGAGCTTTTTCACCTTAATATTTTATTCTACTTCTGGCACCTCCTCACATGTCCGCCTACCCAAATAGTTCCTCCACGAGCCGCCACTGTCCCAACTTGAAACTCACCCCGAACAAGTGTTTTCTATTTTAAAAGAGAGTGGAATTCTCAGGTCACGTGGTATCTGAAGATGGCATACAAGTTATAGAAGGAAAAATAGATGCCGTCAGGGATTGGCCAAAACCACGTGACAAACATGAACTAAGGAGTTTTCTAGGATTATGTTCTTATTATCGAAGATTTGTGGAAGGTTTTGCCAATATTAGGCATTCCAGGTTGACGTCATAACCGATCCGCCATTTTAGCTGAGGGGCAAACAAAAGCCAAACATAACCTGATTTAATGTTATTTTCAATGCAAACCGAGAATTTTTGAAGTATTATTTTGTGAAGATGCCTTCGTTTTGTGGCGTTTTTGGGTGCTCCAATAGAGCTGAAAGGAATAAAGTGAGGTATTTTATGATTCCAGCAGCCAACACTTCATCTCGGTACATCAAAAAAGTTGTTTATGTTTCTACAAGTATCTTAGGTAACTTTTAATACCTTTTAGGTAGTCCAGCAGAATTTAAGGATACAAACAATCCGGATTGGGTCCCCAGTACAAATATAGGATATACTACGATAATTGATAGAAGCCCAGAATGAACAAGCCAGTAAGCTAAGCTACATGCCAGATCTGTGCACCGATCAGAACAGTCAAAACGTTTGAGGAGTCATTCTACCACAAATTTATTTTGCTAAAGTTTATTTGTAAGGCTGTTAGTATCAAACTTTTTTATTTTTTAAACAATTTAGATTCTTAAGCATTATTTTTGTTAATAAATTGTTTGTTTACTATTGTTGAATTGAAATGTAAAGTGGCATGTCTGTAAATAAAGATTCATTCATTCATTCCATCCATTCACAAAAACTAAAAACAACTTAAAATTTATGAAATACCTAAATCAAAAAACGCAAAAATTCCAAAGCACAAACTCAAAAAACATTGTAAATAATGATCTATAGGCTTTGTTTGCCCCTCAGCTAATATGGCGGACCTGTCAAAAGTCACGTGACCTGGAATGCCTAATCGCTGCTCGGCTTCATCCATTAACGGAAGAAAAATCAACATTTAATTGGACCCAAGAATGCGATTCCGCTTTCAGAAAATTGAAAGGAGCTTTATGTACGAGCCCAGTGTTGTCCTATCCCGATCAGAAAGGCATGTTGATTTTGGACACAGATGCAAGTAACACCAGTATTGGAGCTGTCCTTCCACAAATCCAAAATTCACAAGAACATGTCGTAGAGTGTAGAGTATTACAGCAGAACCTCATCAAAGCCGGAACGAAATTATTGTGTCACCAGAAGAGAGTTGCTTGCCATAGTGAAAGAAGTCGACCATTTCCATAAATATCTCTACGGACGTAAGTTTCTAATTCGAACGGATCACTCAGCTCTAAAATGGCCTTTAGAAATGAAAACTCCTGAAGGACAGCTTGCTGGATGGATTGAGAAATTGCATCAATACAATTTCCAAATTAAACATCGACCTGGAAACCTGCATAAAAATGCTGACGCTCTGTCTAGACGTCCATGTAAAGAAGATTGAAAGCATTGTCAGAGAATCGATATGCATGAGAAAAACACTAGTCCAGCTATGAGAAGAACGGGCCTGATCGTTGATGACGAATGGACTACCAAACAAATGAGAGAAGATCAGGAGGCAGACCAGGACATCGGACAAATTCTACATCTTAAAGAAAATGATGAATGCAGGTCAGAATGGAGGGAAGTTTCGAACAAAAGCTTGATTTACAAGGCGCAGTGGGCCCAGTGGAACTCTCTGGCCGTAGAAAATGGTTTACTTAAAAGAGTTTGGGAAAGTGTCGATGGGAAATCCACTAAAAGCCAACTGGTTATCCCAAAAGACCGAGTGAAAGATGTATTAAAAGAAATACATGACGGAAATTCAGGGGTACATTTTGGAGTTGACAAGACTTTGGACAAAATTCGGGAACGTTTTTACTGGATTGACTATCGCGAAGACGTTAAAAGCTGGTGCCGAAAATGCGACATCTGTGCCACCAGTAAAGGCCCTAAACTAAGATCTCGGGGGCCCATGAAACAGTACAATGACGGTCTCCCATTTGAAAGAATAGCGATAGATGTTGCCGGACCGTTCCCTGAGTTAGAGCGTGGTAACAAATACATCTTGGTTATCATGGATTACTTCAGTAAATGGCCAGAAGTTTTCGCTATTCCCAATCAAGAAGCCATCACTGTTGCCCAGGTGCTGATGGACGAAGTTTTTAGTCGTCATGGTGTGCCACTAGAGTTACACTCAGATCAGGGACGAAACTTCGAATCTGCAATCTTTATGAAAATTTGTGAGATCATGGGTATTCGGAAGACAAGGACAACACCTTCACATCCACAATCTGATGGCATGGTAGAACGATTCAATAAGACCATAGAGGAAGACCTGACAAAAATGGCCGCAAAGAACCAGCGAGATTGGGACAAATACTTGCCTCTATTTTTAATGGTTTACAGAGCAGCTGTTCACGAATCAACAGGTGAAAGTCCAGCTAGAATCGTTTTTGGAAGAGAACTCAGGCTACCTTGCGATCTGATGTTTAGAATACCTGAGGAAGAACGAAAAGAAATTTGAGAGTATGCCGACGAAGTCAGGGCACGACTTCTGGCCCTTCTGGGTATCCATGATTTTGCTCGGGAGCATATTCAAGTGGCCAGTGACGGATGAAGACCAGATACGACTTGAAAGCCAATTCAACCGGATTTCAAGAAGGTGATTTGGTGTGGCTGTATAATCCAACAAGAAAGAAAGGAGTGTCGCCGAAATTGTCTTCAGCATGGGAAGAACCTTACAGAATAATCAAGAGGATCAATGATTTGGTTTATCGAGACCAGGAGTAAGATGAAAGTTGTACATTTGGACAGATTGACGGAATATCATGGGCGCGCAGTTGATCGGGACGATCAACCTTAAGAGGAGGGCAGTGTCGCGTTCGCCAGCATGTCACGAATTTCCGAACGTTTGCGCCACGGTATCTAGAATACATGCCAAAATTCCAGCTTATTCGGGCATCGAAATATCGCGGTTATTATGGATTTTTCATGAATAGATGTAGGGATATATAAAGGTCGGCATTAGTTTGTAAGTTTAAGGTTAAGTTTGACTGTGATACAATTTAAATAGTGATTATTGTTGAGAGCTGTAAAGAGTTTAGTTGTTGAGTTAGTTAATAAAGTAATTATTAGTGTCAGAGTATAGTTACGAGGAATAAATTATTGCTGTGTTAATTGGATTTTGGAATAAACGAACGAACCCAACATTTCTGTCACGCACACCAAAGTCGTGACAATATTATATATTACACATAAATAACAGTGATGTTAGTCAGTCAGTTGAATAGCCGAACTGTGCTGGTCAGTCAGCCCTATTGAGGTAGCTCAGCCCCAATTTATGTAAAAAAAAATATAATAGGTCTATTTTTTTTAGAGTGACAGCGCGACAGTTACAATAACTCGAAATTGTAGGTTTAAGTATAAATTAATAGGTTTATTCAGTAATATTACTATTTCTTGTAGATTTTTACATTTATCGGGGCTGACTGACCAGCACGTTTCCGCTATTCAACTGACCGAATAACATTACTGTTAGTTATATGTTATATATAATATGTATAACGATTTTCAGCTTCAGTAAATTCGTTGTATTACTCAAGTTATCTCGACAACTTTAACAAGATACCCTAGGTCCTTGTCCTAAGTTTCGCTTGACTGACCGCGCTATATTTATGTACATAACTATTGTAATCAACTGTCCAAAAACTGGCTTTAGTAAATTCAGAGAATTTTTTCAGCGCTGGCTCTTAGACTATAAGAAACTGTCACTTCGAACAGTTCGCGGAAACCGAAACCAATAACGATGTGGCTTGGTAGTAGTGACGCGTGGATATTTTTTTTGAATAGTGCATTGTGCATTCAACTTACAATTATTTTGGAAATATTTGAGTAGGTACCTATTTTTTGTACTTACGTTGCAAAATATTGAAAAATTGTGCCATGGAAAATACAATATCGGCAGTAATCCTATACCCGGCCAGCGAATAAGTTACCACAGTCAGAAACAACGTAAGCCTTTCAATAAACACGTTGCAACTTGAATAAAATCCTCTCAGATAAGACGATGTAGTTAGAGCGCTAATTTCTCTAGCTCTTAAATGCTCAATTAGTTTCTCAAAAGGCTTTTCCCAAGCGTACATTTTAATCACTTGAATGCCACTGATAATTTCGCTCATGTGCTTAACTCTGCTATCGCATCTTGTTGCTACTTTAAGACGCAAAGTTGTTGCTAATTTACCAAGATATGCTACAAAAAAAATAACAAATTAGACAATTAAACAACATTACAAGCAAATGCATACTTTGCAAAGGTATAGTAAGAATAAACATGGAAACAACTCCAACCAGACAATATATCCCAATAATATTCCACATAAAATAGGTCACAAGTGCAACTTGAATGGGAGCTATCCAGATAAAATGCAAATACACCACAACTTGATCAAATCTTTGTACGTCGTTTGATAAAATATTGATTACTTGACCTGTGGCTGTTTGTCCTTGCGATCTTTTATTGATTTTCATTATTTTTCTGTAGATCAAAGACGAAGCAGCGATTCGGATTCTCATACCGATTAATGAGGCACCAAAATTGGCATGGTGCATCATGAAAATTGTTATTACAGAAATGAGACACAAAATGCTGGCCATAATGTACCTATAAGTTTGATCGGGTGATTCGTTGGTCGATTCGAATTCCTTTACAAGCCATGCCAGGACTAATGGTTGAGGCGATCTGGAATAAAGAAGTTTGAGGTAATACTGCCGGTATTAGTATAAGTGTTACCTAAAAACGACATGAAGTAACATGTACATTAAGCCATAAAGTAGATATTCCCATATAAATGTCTTTATTAGAGCTTTAAGTAAGCTGGGTTTCTTTTTCAAGCTAGTTTTTGCATTGTTCACTTGTTTGTTCCAGTTTTCTTCTAGTTTATCTCCCAGTTTTTCCGATTTGTCTGCTGTTAAGGTTTTGTACAGGTCACTTATTCTGATACTTCGTTTGCTTCCTATGTAAAAAAGTGGGATTGTCCAACTAAAAATTTTATAATTTTTGTTTATTTGTACTACTAGAGACAACTTCACAGTATTCTTTAGGGATGTTATCCCGTGACATTTTGCATTTTGCAAAACGTGTCTCTTTGCAAAACTTAGCAGGATGCTCGTCAAAGAAATCGGAAAGAAACGCAATATTTTTTTGTGTAGTTTACACGTGGTATTGTTTTTGTGTATTGTATGAAATGAAAAAATCATTTTTTGGCGAGAACCTACGTGCTGCTCTATGCCCATTCGTATGCACAACGATATTATTCTTTAATATTTGATGTAGGTACTCTAAACTGGAGAAAAATGGCTTCATATATGATTGCATCTTGAATGAATAGGTACCTACCTACAATGTCGAAAATTGTTCGAATAGGCTTCAATCATTAACATTTTATCGAGTTTCTCATTATCGAACAGATGTAATGTGATTATTGAAAGTTTCCTTGAATTAGCCACTTAACTTGAACATGCTTGTTAGAGGACTTCAGATCGCCGAAAAAGATGATCAAATGACGCAGATGCTGGATGAAGGAGAAAGGGAGAAAAAGGAGAGGAAGAAGTGAGAAGAAAGAAACAGAAATGTTGAGGAAGAAGAAAGAAGCAGAAATGATGCTTCACAATTCACAAACAACTGAATATGAAAAATTTGTGAAGGCGGATCTTAAAGCAAGACCAATAATCATGTGTCTCAGTCAGTCTCAGATTGTTCCTAATAGTGATGCTTAAAGTTAAAAATACGTCATTTCGAAAGAACATTCTTACATTGTTTTTAAATAAACACATTACTTACGCAAAAAACAATTTGGAAAAAATATTGGCCTTTAATTTGGGATTGTCCTTTTTTAACATAAGCGCTCCGTCCATTTTCACGTAGGTATGTTCAGTACACCAACACTTGCAACACACACAAACTGAACCTAAATGAAAGGTTTCCAAACTTTCATATTATACTTATTATAATAGCTTTTCTTGTCTTTCATTGTTTCCCCATTTTGTCAAACTTTTATTTTTAATCGTTGAACAATGAAAAAGTATTCAAAAAATAAATCTTGAGCAAATATGGCACCAGCATTTTTTGACTCAATTTGTATGCTATTTTTGGTTTGCCTATAGACTATCTTTTCAGCTTATGTTTAAATAAACACTGTTAATAAAATATTTGTATTTGTTTTTGTTTGTACACGTTTCACTATTTTGGTCTTTCTTTATTACTTTAAAGTTATAAAAGGGGCAACATTGTAATTAAACTTATATATTCCATACATGGATAGAAAGCTCTTTGAAAATTTTAAAACATTAAGTTATAAAATTATTAATGTAAGAAACATTAAAAAGCGAATTCCTTAAGTCTGTATGATTTAATTTACTATTTTTTTTTAACTTGAGATTAGGAATTAACAAACTTAAAATAGAAAAAAAATATTTGAAAATATTGGCTTTTGAAATATTTTTTTGTTATTGACAAAACCAAAACTCTCTAATTACACCGTTTTGCGAGTCGAAATCTATTTTAAACATCTTTCATAGGTACCTTGTTCCGCTTTACTATTCAGATTTTTCAATAAAAATGCAAACAATAATTAAGCTCTAAAGCTAAGCCTGGTTAAGCCTCAATTAACGTATTATTACACAATCGGGTACAATTGCGAAAAGCGAAGAATAATGTACCGTGATTTTTTTAGCTTAGCTTTTATGATTTCGCTGGATTAGGCATAATATAGACGTGAATATTTTGCAAGGATGACATCAAGATTTTTGATTTATAGTTTGTATGGCGCTAATCCAAAGGAAACTCAACATTTTTCACTACTCATCCTTTTTAAATTATTCCTTTTCAACAAATAATTAGAATGAGCTCTCGATTTATGTTTCAAGTCTTCATCTTTGTCTAACTATACTGTCCCCCATCTGAAACGACTGACTGTTGACACTGTTAATGGCTAACGCATTGCAAGTGTAGCGTTATACATTCTCCTCCTTCAAAAACTTGCAGAGTCTTGCCAAAGTTTCAACAGAATTATTGATTTTTAATGGCATGCAGACGTTTCAATTTCAATTAAAATTGATGATGCCTGCTGATGTTGCTATATGTCGACGACGCATCCGTAGTTGAAGGGATAATGTATTCCAATCAACCATTAATTGTGAGGGTGTTCTCCTCATTCCTTCTAACTCACTCCCATGCCAACGGTAAGCATTTTTCCGTTTCCTATACAGCCAGCACGATTGATCGCTCTCACCTGCTAGGAAACGGAATGCTACATTAAGCACTCCATTTTCTAGCAGGTATGCGCGAGTCTCTGCAGTCTGCATGCACGACTCCCTGCGCCGTCACTGTTCTTGTGTTGTGATTGGTTGTAGGAAAAATGCGTTCTTCTGTTCTATATTTAGAGCTACTTTGACGGCATTGTTTTATTTGTTTTTGTCTATGTAATGCGTAGTCAGTGAAGACCAGAAGGTAATAGGTATTTGATTTGTGCTATGTTTAAAAAGGTGATAAAAATGAACCTTGAACAGATAAAAAATGCGTTAGACAAAGTTGATGTAAATTATAAAGTAATATCCAATAAAACTAATAACTCAGAAGTGACTGTCAGAACCTGCTTCATTCGAAATGATGACGAGACATGGGACGATAGTTGTACGAGGTGGATCAAAACATTTTCGAAATTAACATCCACGGACTGGATAGTAGAAAGAACCTACAATAAGTTAAAGCAGTTAGAATATAGAAAAGATTATGTTTGCCAACACAGTGAAAAAAATAAGATGCGCAAGAAGGGCATGACAAGAAATCGAAATAAACGTACTACACAGCGAAAATCGTTATAAAAGTAAAAAAAAAAAAACTATAAAGATACCAGGTACAGAAATGCGTATCTAAAAGAAGGATTAGATGCTCTGATTGTGGTAAGTATAGTAAAATTTTGTCTGTATCACTTTAACAAACTGAGCTTATGAGGCATCGTTTGGGCAAAAACAAAACGTCTTGCGACATACTAAACGTTTATGGAAAATGTAATCGTGAAAAAATGTTTTGAGATTTTTATCTAAATATCCGTTTTGGGGGTTATAAAGACAAATTAATATATTTCCCCAATTTCGTCGATGTGTGTCTGTTTGACGATCAAGATTTTTTGGAAAAAAATTCTGGATGAACATTTCTTCTTCGTTAGCGCAGCGAGTCGCGCATACCTGCTAGGAATCGGAGCACATTATGTAGCCTTCCGTTTCCTAGCAGGTGAGAGCGATCAATCGCGCTAGCTGTATAGGAAACGGAAAAATGCCAACGGTAACCGCCGAAGATTGCGGTTGGTCTTCACAACTAATACCTTAAAATTGATGAAAGACTTGATCGACAAGGTAGAAATGAAACAGGTCCCGGTAGCTCAGTTGGTAGAGCGTTGCACTGGATATGCGAGGATCCTGGGTTCAAATCCTCGCGAGACAAGAAAATTTTTCATCAATTTTAATTGAAACGTCTGCATGCCATTAAAATTAAACACATTGTGAATTTTATAACAGACGATAAAACTTATAAAAATTGTAAAATTATTGGCTTGATATTGATGGTTGGGCGTCCCATCCCGATGCCTGCTGATGTCGCTATATGTCGACGACGCATCCGTGGTTGAAGGGATAATGGATTCCAAACAACCATCAATTGTGAATGTGTTCTCCTTACACCTTCTAACTGACTCCCATACCAACGGTAGATAACCACCGAAGGTTGCCGTTGGTCTTCACAACTAACACCCCAAAATTGATGAAAGACATAATCGACTAGGAAGAGATGAAACAGGTCTCGGTAGCTGAGTTGGTAGAGCGTTGCACTGGATATGTGAGGGTCCTGGGTTCGAATCCTAGCCGAGGAAAGAAAATTTTTCATTAATTTCAATTGAAACGTCTGCGTACCATTAAAACTGAACACACTGTAAATTATACAGTGATCACGTATATTATTTGGAATAAAAGCTATAAAATATACAGGGTTGATATTTTTCAAAAAACCTCGGACACGTCAATTTTTGATTTTAGTGGCCGTTCTTTTGATGATAAAACCATGTATACAAGGTGACTCAAAGGCAAGTTATGACAGCTAACTTTATTTTTTTAAATGAAATACCAATTTTTCATTCCATTTTTAAATTCTACGTTAAATTCTGAACATATTTCTTGCATCATGTCCTATACCTATCTTCAACTGTTTCGGAAAAATTGACAGTTGAAAATTGACTTTTCTGCAACTTTGATAGGCTGTAAAACCTAAACGGTTAATTTTAGAGCAAAACCGATCATACATTTTTATCTTAGTTTTCCTTAAACTATCATTTGACACCAACTTTGAATTTAACCGGAGATTAAATTTAGCCGGAATTTTTAACCATGGACTAAATTGAAAGTTGCTGTCAAATGATGTTTATGGAAAACTAAGGTAAGAATGTGTGATAGGCGATAGGATAATAGATAGAGACCATCCATAAGGAGTCAATTAGGATATGTAGGACTACGATGCGATCCTTTGTTCAGCATATGCGAGATGACCAATACCTTTTTTACTATAGTGAATAGATTTAGGCGTCGACATTTGTCAGCACGGATTATTTGTTTCTATAACGTTGGTCAAAATACTCGCAACATTCTCTAATTTTGTTGTGATCTCCGGTTCCGGTTCCGGTTCTCGTTGTCAGCGATAGCTCGGAGATCAAGTTCGACCATATAATTTGTTTTATAGGCAGCACTGTGACAATCTACTGTATGAATAAAAAATAGCATTTGCTTTTTCTCTTAAAATCTAAAGCAAATGCTTCATCCAGTATGAATAAAAGTTCAAGCAAAAGTCGGAAGCAAATGCTCCTGGAAAAAGCAAATACTCTTTGCTTCAAATTGAAAGCATTTACTACTTGCAAAATGCATCTGCTCCAGAGCAGATGTATATTTACTATTTTGGTAAATTATTTTCGAATATTCTTACATCCCGTTTTTTTTCTTGTCTGTTTTCTTCTTTAGCCGGGTTTTCAATCCGGTGTCTTAGCATAGTTAAACGTGGTGGTGGTGTTTGGAGAGAATCTATCAACCTTATTTTTGTTAACAAAAATAATAGTTCCTGCAGTCGGGGTATCCTTCTACAGGCATGGAGTAATGCCAACAATGGCCGAGCTCGTTTTTGTAATCTTTTTCGTCGATTTGCTCTGAAATTTTGACAGGCATGTGACTGGGTTAAACAGTTTCAATTTACCAATCACGTGCCTGTCAAAATTTCGGAGCAAACCGACGAAAAAGATGACAAAAACGAACTCGGCGAATAATAACATTGCCTTGACGTGAATCACATTGACAGAACAGATGCCAAATGCTACAGTGAACTTTACATTAAACTTCACATAGGACAGTGCGCCATCTCGTGGTATTGTGTGGTAGTGCGCCTCTTGCGGGCGATGACGTCACGAGCTTCCTTATATTAAAATTCAAGTTATGAATTTTAATACCTTTTTTTTAAAAGTTAGTGATAACATTTGAACAAAATAAAAAAACACGGGTCTCCTGAAAATGCATGTAGATTATTAGATTCATATTACCAATTATATTACGCAATAAAAAAAAACCGCTTAATAAACACCGGATTCTTGAGATTTTTTTTTCCGATCATTTTTCCATATCGTTCAAATATCTCCTCTATACATTCTGCCTTCGCCTCCTTTGCTGTGAGCTTCTGGGAATTTTCTTATACATTCGGCCTTTGAAAGACTTCCTGTAGCAGAAGTCCTCGCGTCATGCGTTATTTGATGATGAGGTAGTAGATTGTAGATTACATTAGGAGTCGTTACAGCGCTTGTTCCAGCCTCTCTAGATCCAAGATTTGTAGGCTTCTCTCAAAGGAGGCCACTTCCTGGGTCGTAAAGTGCCCAACT